CCTCCTCTCCCCCCCCCCCCCCCCCCCCGCGAGTATCGCGGGTCCCCCCTTGTTAGGGTATAATGCCATAGAGTCCACCTTTCAGAACGGCCATTTGCTCCAGGTGAACTGATCTGTTTCACCTGGAGGGCATCTGTAATCCCAGGAGATCTCCAGCCACCACCTGGAGGTCGGCAGCCCTACTGCCATCCCACCTAGGGATGGAATAATCCACAAATCTCTCACATTTGAGAAAAAAGGGGCATCCCAATAAACAATGTTCCATAGTATTAATTCTCCCAGAAGCACGGAAGCATAGCCTCTCCAAATAGGGCACCACCTTATAATGATGTGCTTCACTGTGCTTCATCCTGCGGTCCATCAGGACATAAGAAGAGCCCTGCTGGATCAGGCCAGTGGTCCATCTAGTCCAGCATCCTGTCTCACATGGGGGCCAACTAGTTCCTCTGCAGGTCCAACAACAGGACATAGAGCCTGAGGCCTTCATAAGAACATAAGAGGAGCCTTGTGGGATCAGAGTAGAGGTCCATCTAGTCCAGCATCCTGTCTCACACAGTGACCAACCAGTTCCTCTGGAGGTCCAACAACAGGACATAGAGCCTGAGGCCTTCATAAGAACATAAGAGGAGCCTTGTGGGACCAGAGCAGAGGTCCATCTAGTCCAGCATCCTGTCTCACACAGTGGCCAACCAGTTCTTCTGGATGGCCAAGAACAGGGCACAGAGGCCAAGGCCTTCCCCTGATGTTGCCTCCTGGCTCTGGGATTCAGAGGTTTAGTGGCTCTGGATGTGGAGGTTCGCCTCAGCCACTATGGATAGTAGCCATTGATAGACCTCTCCGCCATGAATCCATCTAATCCCCTTCTCAAGCTGTTGATTCCTGTGGCCATCACACATCTCATTACCTGAGATGATACAGAATTCAACCTGGCAAGCATAAAAGCTCTCCTATATCGTGGTAGCTGAAGGTTTAAGGATGGCAGCACTCAGGAATATTCTAAGAATGCAGAGAAAGCCTTGGTGGTTTGGACTTAGAAGAAGGAGAAGAAGAGATTGGATTTATACCCTGCCCTTCACTACCCAAAGGTGTCTCAGAGTGGCTTACAAACTCCTTCCCCTTCCCCTCCCCACAACAGACACCCTGTGAGGTAGGTGGGGCTGAGAGAGCTCTTGACAGAAACTGCTCTTTTTTCAAGGACAGCTCTTATCAGAACTATGGCTTGCCCAAGGTCATCGAGCCAGGTGCAAGTGGAGGAGTGGGGAATCAAACCCGGTTCTCCCAGATTAGATTCCGCGCACTTAACCACTACACCAAAACTGGCTCTTAGATCTCAATGTCTCACTGAATACTGAATGCCACCCCACTAGTTTAAGAGGACTGCCAAAAAGAAGAAAAGCAATGCAGAAGACTGCCAGGAGGTAAAACATCCCTAGCTCACGTAGGGCAAAAAAAGAAGGGGGAAAAAAAGGATCTGTTGTATGTGACTGTTGATACATTTTTGGAGAGAGGCTGGCTTCAAAAATATACCTGCCCTTAGATATACTCTCACTCGATGCTTAGAACTCTAATCCCATTGTCAGCTCTGCTGACAGATCAGCTCCTGAATTTGAAAGAGAAACATTATTTTACTGGGTCTTTGATATGGATTAGCAGGACTTCTACACAAACACATCAGGTATTAAGTAGCACTGCCGCCAGAACTATCGATGCTGTGAATATTGATTTTCATAATCATGTTTTGATGCAACCCTTCCTTCAAGGACA